AATCAATGGAGAGAGCACACGTGTGCCGTAGTCGTCGATGGCTGCGCTCGTGAGCGCGAGAGAGGACCTCGGAGTACGTGAGCACGCCGAAGGATTGAGGCACTGGCCAACACAGACAGTTGGCCACAGGAAGTAGTGTATTTTCTTCGAGCTGGAGACGGGGCACCAAGCGGGGGCATACGCGTGGTGGCAACAACAACGAAAAGGCCTATTTGCCAGGTGGGTGTTGTGGCACTGAGCGCTTCGCCAACCGTTCCCTACTGCTGGTGTTGTCTTCAGATAGCTGGTAATGTCTTCAGATAGTGGTGTGTGTGGCAGCACCGAGTTGCGCCGCGGGCAGTATACGGGGGCTTGTACATTTTCGTACTTTTTCATGAAAAGTTTCATGGAAGTCCATGGACTTCCATGGACTTCCATGGACTTCCAAGACCATGGAAGTCCATGAAATGTTTCGTGAAATATCACGGCATTCCGTGAAAAGTTCCATGGATGTCCATGACATTTTTGTCATGAAACTTTACATGAAATAATTTCACTCCTTGTCATGAAACATTTCATGGAATAATTTCATGGACGTTCATGACATGTTTCATGAACGCCCATGAACGTTCATGAAAACAAATGTCATGATAGCCCATGAACGTCCATGGAATGTTTCATGGACGTCCATGGTCTTTCATGGAATATTTCATGAACATCCATGAACGTCCATGGAATGTTTCATGGACGTCCATGGTCTTTCATGAAATATTTCATGAACATCCATGAACGTCCATGGAATGTTTCATGAACGTTCATGAAATGTTTCATGAAAGCCCATGAACATCCATGAAACATTTCATGAACATCCATGAACGTTCATGAAAAATTTCATGGACGTTCATGGGCTTTCATGAAAAGTTTTATGAAAGCCCATGGACATCCATGAAATGTTTCATGAACGCCCATGGAATAATTGCTGCTTCTAGCACTGCACGAAAGGGAACACAGTCTCGCGAATCTACTCGTAGCGTTCGTCTTCTTACGTTTGACTTGACCAATAGGCTACACGGTCGACTGGCGGGCTAGCGGCTGCTCCTCGATTCTCTTGGGGGTATGCATGATAACATTGCGAAGACGACCGACCCTGTATTGTACGGCGTGTCTGCAATCTCTCTGCGATCGCCACAGCTACTCAGCGCCAGCGATAATGCAAACCATGCGAGGGCGGGACGCGGAAGCGTCGACGCGTCGGCGGAAAACACGAGGATACATGGGGATATGTCCCCGCCCCCCCCAAAATTGAACAAAATTACCCCGATTTTCGATTATGTAGAGTACAGTAAGCCTACCTAACTAACTGAGTGTCTTTAATTTGTGTTCACGACACTACGGCTTCGAAACGCACCTCACCTACCTCACTCGGCAATGGCTAGGTTCCGGTTGGAAGCGTTTTTCCCTTTCGCAATCCTCCACCCCTCCATTATCCGACGGTTCGCCAGATCGGGTCTGACTGTGATGGGACACCCATTCATTGCTGAACGCGACGAGCTGGCGGTGGAGGCCGTCGGCGAGTTTGTTGTGCCCGACCGTTTGGCTTCTCCCGCGGCTCTGCTGATGGGCGGAGGATGGTGTCCACCACTAACTTTTCTTTCGGCTTCACAGGTGGCCAAAGTACACATTGGGGGTAGGTTGGGAGCACCCCCAATGTCGGGCAGGTTGTGGAGGGGGGTTGGGAGGCAGCCACAACCTTGGCCAGCCCTCTTGGTTGTACAAGGCTGGGTGCTGAAGGTTGGGAGGGCTGTCACAACCTTGGCCAGCCCTCCTGGTTGTACAAGGCTGGGTGCTGAAGGTTGGGAGGGCTATCACAACCTTGGCCAGCCCTCCTGGTTGTACAAACACAGACCCAATAGGTTGGGAAGCAGCTACAACCTTAGGCCAGACCTCCTGGTGGTGAAAGCACCGAAGATACACAGGTTGGGAGGCAGTTGGCAACCGATCCCGCCAGACAGATGGGAAGCTAGAGTGGGGTGTGTGCATTCGAACCAGCGAGCCCCCTGTTGGTGGGTTTGCTTTGTGTGTGGTGGTGTGTTGCGTTGTGGCCTGCGCGCCCTCGTTTCCACACTGCACATGACGAGCCTTGACACAGGCGACCAGAGGCCGCAGCGTGCCAAGACGAATACGATTAGACTGGTGGCATTCCTTTCGTAACCAAGGCAACAGGCTACTATCTCTAGATGCTCGGACTTCGGGCACGGCAGCCGCCGCGGCTAACCCGCCGCACTTGTGCTGCTAAGAGCGGCAAGACGAGCTTCTACACGGCGCGCGCGGACAAGAGAGAGCGACATGCCGGCAGCAGTTTCTGCTTAGGTAAGCAAAAGAAGGATGCATGAAGGGAAAGTTGTGTGTTGTGTATCCCTGTGTCCCCTGCGGGAGAGGCGCGAACTCAGCATTTAGTGTTGTTACATGTGCTCAGACACCAGCAGTTGGTCCTGCACACCCAATGGCTCTGGGCCTACTGCGCGCATGCAGCTCTTACTCATCATGTACAACGGGGAATTGTCCCGAAGGCGTCAATCAGTGCCCAGCCTCATTAGTCATTGTTTAGGGCGGGGGATGTACATGCTGCTGTAGGCACTTCGCCATTTCTCAACGGTTTTTTGAGGGGGTCGTGCTTGAAGTATTATTATAGTATTTTTCATCAGTATTTTGTGACAACGCGCATGTCGGCTGTATGACGTGTCCACACACATGCCAAGCAGAGACCGCGTGAACCGTCCAGAGGCATCAGCCGACGCTCAGCCCTTAACACGCCCTGTTTTTTTTAGACAAATTGTAATTGTTCGATTGACACAGGGTCGTTCACACGTCGCAATATTGTAAACATGCGTTCGTTTTGAAAGCAAGAATTGACTATTATACCGTAGGTTGCATAAGATACCACACCCCCCTTAACCGAATTTCGCACCTCTATTTTTCCCGACAAAGACAATGATATGCCAAAGTCAAACGATACATTTTTGGAAAGTTCTGGACTGGACAGTTCCAATGCTACCATTTCCGGCACCGCCACCTCTTCTGCTGGGTAGTAAACAGGGTTTGGAAATTGGTCCAGGGGGCGTGATATCTTAAGCAACCAACTGCTGTGAGACAGCAGTGGATTCGATTCTCCTCTGCGCCATCGTTTTCTTCCACCACCCTTTTTTTCTTTTTCTTTTCCTCGGGAAATTGATGTGCACTTTGGAATAGAAATATACGTTTGTTGGCCGTAAATACCGAGTAAGGCGGTTTCTCATGAGCACCACTTGCTACCCCTATTTTCATAACACTTTCTACCCCATACCATATCATGATCGGTCGGTTTGTGTTTTCTTGGATCTCTGCGCACTGGGTGACACAACAGCAATAGCAAAGCATGCGCCCATGTCTGTACGTATGTATGGTGCCTCATGTGGGGTGGTTGTTACAGACCGTGAGGCGCGGGGAGGCTGAGAATTGAAGTTGGTGAGAGGGCCAACTGCTGTTCGAAGAAGACACCCCGCTCGAACACACTCCGAACACAGCTAGTGACAAGTTATTTGCAACGTCACAGGTTTGGTTTCGTAGCGACCCCTCTTAACTGACCGAACCAACAGATACCACAATGCCACCCGCCCGTAGCTGCGTATATGGTGCTTCTTGTGCTGTGGTTTTCAGAGGCCGTGACGGGCTGGGGGCTGAGCAACGAAGTTGGCGAGGGTCGACTGCTGTTCGAAAAATGGATTGCCGCTCACTGCTGTACATATTTATTTCTTGCCATTTCACCAGTGGCGTTGTAGTTATCCCTCCACTGAACAGGCCAACAGCAACGACGCAGTCCCTCCGATAGAGAGCGGCCTGATGGAGCTCACATCCTCGCAAGTTTCAGCAGGAGGGTGATCTAGCGAGCAAGAAATTGAAGACTTTGTCCAGCAATGTGTGTGTTGGGATGATGCTGCGTCTGTTTGCGGGTCTTTTCTTTGCAAGTCTGAACAAGCGGTGCTGCGTGAGCTGGCCAACATTTCGCTTTGAGCGCACCTCGCCACACGGCAACCAAATATCAACGGCTGAGATGGCAGCACAGTGCTCCGAGGGTTGCTACGACCAACTTGCTGCGCAATCGATGTTTATTTCCGTGTGGTGTGCATTTCCAAACGCAATAAACAAACGCGCCATCGGATCAAAAATTGTCGTCACTTCCGAACGCATGGCCGCTTGAAACGAAGTCGAAAATCTTCAGCCGGAAACAAATTTGTAATTTCTAGTCCTACAGTGTATAAGAAACGTTTTATTGTCCGATTTCATAAATTACACTTTTTTCCCGAGAAAAACGATAAATTACGAACAGCCTAAACCCCTGAAAACAAGGCGTGTCAGAGATCGGAACGTTTATATTTTTATCTCAAGACAGCAACAACAGCATGAAGAAAGGCGGTCGCAGTGGGTGCCCCCAAGTGTGGCGAAGGGGCCAACAGCAAAAGCAAATGGTACAGACATTAGCACATTCATTCCCTTTGACTATTGCGTTTTCCTGAACGGGTAGTCTTTCAGTGAATTGTATGCCTAACTGGTATGTAGCTTTCTAGGAACTGGCGAACCGGACAGCAGTATAGATGAAATTATCTTCCGGTACGTACAGCACTTCATGTTACGCAAATTCTTGACCGAATGAAGCCGCGCCACCGATGAGAAATGGAGAGGGCACCAGTAGTGTGCATAGCAGAGCAGAGGGGTATACATGTGCATCGTTCACATGTTGCGTCTCACGCACTTTTTGTCCCCCCCCGCCCTGTATCGTAGTAGGTGGAGACGGCCATGAGCGGGCTCGGTACCGCCATGTTCTCAAAGGTTCTAGGGCCATCCAAGCAAGGCATTTCCCGGGTCGGAGGGCGAGACCATGCAGAGCGTGAGCTTCGACCAGGTCGACTGATGCAAGCGCACCGCCACATATTCAGGTACGGTCGGGTTATTAAGTGAACTCCCTGCGGTAATGCGAGATATATTTCAGAAGTGGTGCCCTGTGGTTTGAAAAACAAAGTGTATGATGGTAAGTTCATGTCGCAACCCCCCCACACCTCTGTCCACCGGGAACAGATAGAGGTCTGCTACTGCACCTGCTGTCAGAGTCGTGCATAACATCGCCGATCACTCCGGCATAGGTCCACTCACGTTTTCAGTACATCCGCTCCTATTTGAATGTGAACGGAAGGAGCGACGAATTCCTTCTTTCGAACGCTGTTCATTCGTTCATTCATGAGCAGAATGGGAAGGAACGGGGGGACGTGCAGGCAACAATCCTCGCGATTCATTGCTTGTGGAAGGGGTAGAGACTTTTTGACGCACACGTACCACTACTTGTGTTGGTTTGAGGGGCTCGCATGCTGTAGCGTTAGCCTGTCGTGCAGGATAGAGGTGAGCGCACGGTGAGCGATAGTGCGCATCTACCAAACATGTCATGGTGCCACGCAACAGGACCGGGGGCAATGAGTGTTTGTCCTTACAATCTTCATGCCGCTTCCGTGATAATAATGCTTGAATTTTGGAATCGCCACGTACGTTTTGAAAATGAGGATAACTGCTGGAGTCCATCTTCGCCCTGCTGCCTGCTGCTTTCAGCAGTAAGTCCACACTATCTACTGTCAACCTTGCTCTGGTGCATCCATCCAGCCCCCGCTAAGCACCACCTCGCCCCCCTCACGGCATGGATTGATCCCTTTCGAAGATACTCGAGAAGTGCATCCTCGCGGATGTCAAGACGAGGATGGGCACTCCAGGGCACACTTCGCCAACAAGAGTGACCGCGACCATGACGGTATACCGTACCTTCCCGATGTGTCACCCTTTATTCGAAAAGGCGTTGCTGGGAAGTATGGCGGCGGCGACCAAACGTTGGACGTCATCCGGGACATGTACGTTGCCTTTGTGTCGATATGTGATCTACTGTAAGCTCTGTAAGTCTGGCCCTTCCTTGTATTTAGTTTATTCGTCTAACCCTGTCTCCCGTGGCATACTATCAACTGTTTGTCAGGCTGATGAGCGCTCATTGGGCGTGCGAGCTGAAAGTCCAACACTTTCAATTGTT